CAAACAGTAATTTTAATAAATAAATCTAAATGGTGCGTGTGTGTGTGTGTGTGTGTGTGTGTGTGTGTGTGTGTGTGTGTGTTTTGCTAGGGATATAATCCGGAGCCTTCTGTGTGCTTGCCACTGAGCTACACATCCAACCCTAAACCTTGTATAATAACAATGATAGCATATGTCACAGACACCTAGACACCAGCCTCAGGCACACCAGTTTCCTCCATTACTCCCCACCACTACTCCATAGCACTGCCCCCATTTCTCCAAGAAGCAGAATGATGGTGCTCAGAAGGAATTCCAGGTCTGCCTGTCTTCAGCACCTGCCCCACAGTGCAAAGACCACTGGTCCAGAGAGCCAAGAACCAGGGGTCAGTTCCAGGTACCCAACTGCCTCTCTGCAAGGCATTCATGTGGCACAGCCTGAGACACACCTGTGCCCAGGCGCTTCCCACCCCCTCTCTCTTCTCTGTGGTCCCCGAGTTCCTTGAAGAGGAGTGGAAGACCTCCCTAGAGGAAGGAGGACCATGCAATGTCATGGTGATTGCCAAAGCTCTGGAATCTCCTCTGCATGGGCCTCCATGACTCCACCCTCCCTTGGTACAGAACTTGGGCCCATCCATCATATCTAACCCTCAGGTCATTGGAGGCAAAAGGGAAAGATGATTATAAGACCCAGTTCTAGAAATGCTTAGTGGATGGCAGCTACCTTAGTCACAATCTTATTTGCTGTTACTATTCTTTTTTTTTTTTTTTTTTTTTTTTGGTCTTTTTGAGACAAGGCCTCCCTGTAGCCACAGCTGGCCTGGATTAGCTAATGGAAACCAAGCTGGCCTCGAGCTCACAGAGATCCGCCTGCCTCTGCCTCCCAAGTGTGCCACCACACCTGGCTATACTGTTACTATTTTATTACACAAAAGGGCATCAGAGGTCCAGCCCTTGACACCTTTGTTTCTGACAATAGTCTGAATTAAGAGCCAGGTTTCAACAAGGGGAACAATTGTTGGTTTTGGTTTTGTTTGGTACAGGGTCTCATGTAACCCACGCTGGCCTGAAATTCTCCATGTAGCCAAGAGACCTTGAATTTATGACCACCAAGTCTAGTTTCTGTGATGCAAACCAGGCTGGTACTTTACCAACTGAGCTATATCCCCAGCCCCTGTTTTCATTTCTGAGGCAAGGTCTTTCTATGTAGCCCAAGCTAGCTTCAAACTCCTGCTCCTGCCTTAGCCTCTGAAATGCTGAAATTACAGACATGTACCACCATGCTAGACCTTGTATTTCAGCTGTTAGGCAGGGATTCCAAGAGTTCTTTGACAAGTGGCAGGGGCCCGTCAGGCAAAGCGGTCACTGGTTAGGAGCCAGGGCAGCTAAATAGTTCAATAATTGTTCCCATTTCATGCTCTGAGATGCCCCGTCTCCTTCCCACCATAGCTGACCTCTGGTCACAAGAAGGACCTGAGAGGCAGGGATCACTCACCGCCATGACCAGCTCGAATGGATACTTGTACACACGGACAGGAGACTGGTATTTCTGAACCATGTTCAAACTCAGACACCACCAGGACAGGGTGAGCACTGAAACTGGGGACAAAGATTGACTGTTGAGATGGCTGCTCGCTTCACATGAAGCAGAGATATTGCCCACCGGGTATAAGAGTAGCCCCAGCCCTCTGTAACCCCATTCACTCTTCTTCCCAGCCCTCAAAGCAAGGAGCTCATATGATCCCCAACTAATTCAGGCCAGGTAGTTGTCCACTACCCACCACTCCAACCCACATTCACCCCTCTAAGAGCGAGCACTCCCAGGCACTCCCCTATCCCCAGCCCTTCATACAGACGCAAGCCAGAAGCACCTCTAGATGCCACCCACTCTCTCATGAACACATTTGCAATTCTATATCTCCACCATGGATCTCCTGCCCTTAACCCCTCAAAGTATCCTTGCACCTACTCTTCTATTTTCCCCTAAGACACACTGACACACACAGCCTTTGGAACATTTACCTGCACCCTACTCTCACACAGGATCGTCCTTGCACACACATGCAGCACACAACTTTCCCCATGCACTCAGCTCTCTGGAACAAACACCTACACAACTCCATATGCACACACACTGTTCCCCTGGTGCACACAGGCACACACGCACAGTGTGCACCCACACGCTTGCACGCGCAGGTCCCTGGCAACCCTACTTACCCTCGTCCTCGGAACTGTTGGGGACACAGCACAGGGAACTCTGGGCACCTGCTTGACTTAGGAACTGAGCTCTCAGGGGACCCCAGCAGTCGCCTCGCGGCGCCTTGGGACGGAGCTTGACAGCCTCAGCCTGGCCTGAGGCGCTGGTCCCACACACTAGAGAGCTCCTCCGAGAGGGGAGGAGCCCGATTGGTGACAGCGAGACCTGCCCGGCCTGGAGAGCTCCAGGACCCCGGACAGCGGAGAGCCCGCCCTGGCTCCTCCCCCGCTCTGGCCCCGCCCCCGCAAGTCTTACCTTGCTCTCTGACTGGTCCTGTCTCAACCTGGCCCCGCTTCAACCTCACCCCGCCCACCAGTCTTAGCCCTGCCCCTCGTTTTACACGCCCCTTGCTCGATCACGCCCTCAGCCTGGCCCTGGCTCCCGATTGGCCACGCCTTCCTAAGGCCCCTCCCACACTGACCCCGCCCACAAGGTGCCTAGGCCGCTGCCTCCCAGAAGGATCTAGCGCCCCTCCAGGCCCGGCTGCTCCGGTGCGCCTCACCTTGCCAGCTGGTACAATGCGCAGCTTCCCTAACTCAAAGCAACCTAGTCCTCAACCTCAGTGTTGTTTATTTTGCTTGTTTTGAAGCGAAGTTTCATAATGTAGCCCAGGATGGCCTCGAACTTGCGGTAATCCTCCGGTCTCAGCATCTAGAGTGCTGGGATCACTTGGTGTGCGCCTTCGCAGCCGGCTTGCACCTGGCATTGAGCTCTGCTCCTCCTCCTGCCACACCTCAGAGGCCATGGTAGCCCTGTCCCAAGCCCTTCCTCTGGCATCTTTTATTCACTCTGCACACCTTTACAGAGTGCCCACTAAGTGTCAGACCCTCAGACAGTATATAAATAAAGCAAATATTAAATGATAATTTAGGGATGGTGAACTGTACCAAGGAAAGAGAAATAATCAGGAAAGAGGTCCATCAAAACCACCCCAGGAGGAAGGCATTTGCTCACCCTCCTCATTTTAGCCACATCCCAGGGGCCCTTGGGGCCAGTCTTCCTCCCATAAGCCCTCCCTTCTCCCAACCCACCGTTTGAGTTGGAAGCGTATAGGAACTGGCCCTGGTATCGTTGCCATCTGTTTGTCGTGGTTCCCTTATTCACTTGCCCAGGTGGGGTCAAGCTCTTACCAGTGACCAAGCAGGTAGCTGGTGCCCAGTGCAGACGTGCCCAGATCTACCAGAAGGTGGCAGCAAAAGATAACCCAAGGCTCCCAGAAGAGACAGGTGATTGGGAGGGATACAGCGTCCAGGATGTCTCACCTTAGACTCCTATACTGTCCAGGGGGGTCAGCAACACACGCAGTGACCATGACACACACCACCAGCTGGTGTTCCCAACACCACAATTAAGTCACCACCTCGTCTGCTCCAAACTTTGAGAGGGGGATGTGACTGCACTGGGGAAAGGCGAGGTGGGTGTAGGGGCCTAGAGGGGAGTGTGGACAGGGCTCCCTCCTGCTGTAGCCCAAGGGAAGGGAATTAGTATCACCTCCCATACATCACCTCTTCTTAGCTCTGCTCTGCTAATTATCTCCACACCTTCTTGAGAACTCGCCTGTACTTCCTGTTCCAGACACCTCCTAAAGATTTACAAACAATGCACTTCATCCTCCAAACAGCCCCTGTAGAGATGGAAGTGTTTGGAATTTGATGGAGGTGATGCAGGCAGAGAACTTTGTGGATGTATTAACTGCCACCAAATCATATGTGCTGTGATTGCTAACTGTATGATCTGTAAATTTCACTTGTTAAAAAAAAAGTACTATAGGGCTTGGGATATAGTTCAGTTAGCAGTGTTTGCTAGTGTGCACGAAGCTCTGGGTTACATCCTCAGTGCCACATACACCCTGCATGGTGGCGCACATCTGTAATCCCAGCATTCCCTGGTGGAGGGAGGAGGGTCAGAAGTTAAAGGTCATCTTTGGCTATATAGCCCATTTGAGGCCAGTATGGGCTACACGATACCCTGTCTTAAAAAATAAATAAATAGGGCCTGGAGAGATGGCTCAGCAGTTAAGAGTACTGGCTGCTCTTGCCTCAGAGGACCCTGGTTCAGTTCCCAGTACCCACATGTTGGCTAACAATCTTCAGTGGCCTCCATGGCTGTTGCATGACACAAGTGCGCTTACATATATTCAGACAAAACACTCATATACGTAAATAAAAATAAATCAATCAAAAATAAATAGGAGCAGAAATGGCTTAGGAGTTAAGTCCACTTTCAAAGGACTCAAGTTTGGTTCCTCACATCCTCATCTGAAGGCTCACAAGCACATGAACCTCCAGCTCCAGGAAATCTGACACCCTCTTCTTGCCTCCACACAGATGGCATACACAAGCAGGGACACATACTATATATATATATATATTTAAAATAAATAAACAAACACAAGTAGCAAATAAATAACTTGGGACTGGGGAGATGGCTCAGTGGGTAACATCACTTGCCAAACAAATATGAGTTCAGGAATTCAGCACCTCAGCACCCACGTAAATGCCAGGCAGATGTGTTGGCCCACCTGTAATCCCAGCATGCATGCAGGAGATGGAGGCAGGGGCTCCCCAGAGCAAGCTCACTAGTGGAATCAGCAAGCTCTGGGTTCAGGTGAGAGACCGTACAATCATGGAAGACACCTGATATCAACTTCTGACCTCCACGTGGATGTGAATACACAAGTGTGTGCATCCATACGCAAATAAATACATATAACATGAAAGTGCCTATTGTAACTGTCACTCAGTGTGTGATGCAGTGACTCTCAGTGCATTCACAAGGCTGTGCAAACCTCACCAGTGTGTCACTTTCCTACATTGCCATCCCCAGAAAGACATCCACACCCATGAAGTAAATCTCTCCTCCCGCTCCAGTAACCACCCCTCTGCTGTTTCTGGGGGACATCCTATCTGTCCCCAGATGTCCTAAATTATGTTCTTTCTCCCTAATTCTCAGCGCAAAGTCCAGGGGCCTCCTCATTGGGGACCCTCTGGGACTGTAAGGGGCAGGGCCGCTGTCCACAGTGCTCAGGTTGTAACCTGCACAACTCCACACTGTGCTCCTGGTCATTTTGCCGCCTTTAGCGGGCCTGACACAGAGCTGAGAAATCAGGCCCTGCCCACTCTGATTTCCAGCCTGTTCCCAAGTCTGTTCATTTCCATAAAGGCTTCTGGCCTCCATGTGGGCCAAAGGTCATGTCTAAAGAAACATAGAAGATAGGACAGCAGGGAGGATCCTCAGCCTGGGGTGATTGGGGACATGGGGTTGTAGCAGGGCCAAGTGGCTCAGCAGGCAGTGTGGTACTGACGTAGGTTCACTGCTTGGGAATTCTGGCCCTGCAGCTCCCAGCTGTGTCCTCACACTGTCCCCTCCATTTTATTTCACTTTAAAATTCATTTTTATAAATTATGTGAGCTTCTCTGTGTGTGGATATGTGCAAGTGAGTGCAGATGCTGGCAGTGGCCAGAGGCATTGAATCCCCTGCAGCTGGAGTTATAATAGATTATGAGGCTCCATGTGGATGCTGAGAACTGAACCCCAGAGCATCTGCAAGAGCAGCAAGTGCTCTTAACAGTTGAGCTACCTCTCCAGCCCTTCCTTCCTTCTTTCCTTCCTTCCTTCCTTTTTTTTTTTAGATAGTCTTAACTGTCTTGTCATGTAGCCCAGGCTGGCCTTGAACTCATCATCCTCCCATCTCAGCCTCCTAGGTGCTGGGATTACAGGTATGAGCTGTCAAAGCTTTGGTCAAGATTTTTTTTTGTCTTATGTAGTGCCAGGAGTGGGCTCCAGGGTGCTGGGCAAGTGCTCTGACCCTGAGCCATGCCCTCCCCCTCCTTTCTGTGGCTGACTCATATCCCTGTGGGTGGGCCACATTTCGCTCTTCTGCGGAGAGGTATCTGGGTTGCCTCCCCAGCACAGCTTTCACAGGTGGCTAAGAAATGTGTGAATAACGGGGAAGTAACCCAGACAGAGTGTCCTCCTCCAGGGAAGAGCTGGGCCTGGAGAGTGAAGCCGGAGCTGGCTCTCATGGCCACACCACTGTGGGGGCCTGCATCAGCTCTGAATCTGGACCCATCCCCTCCAGTTCTCTTGATTGTTTTTTGTTGGTTGATTTGGATTATTTATTTATTGAGATAGGGTCTCACTTTGTATCCCAGAATGTTCTGGAACTCACTAGGTTGCCCAGGCTGGTCTAGACCTGCAAAGATCCTCTAGCCTCAAATTCCTCTGTGCTGCGATCTTGAGCCACAACTCTCTTCTTTGCTTTTGGTTGTTGTTGCTCTTTTTTATCTTGCTACCTAGCCTAAGCTGACCTCCAGTTCACACTCCTACTTTAGCCTCCTGAGTGCTGTGATGAGACATGTACTACCACACCCAGCTCTTGAATTTTGAAGGTACCCCAAGATGGACAGAGGCAGGGAGCATCTTGGGCATGTCTCCACCTGAGCAGCATTCCATATCAGCCCCTGAGTTGTCATTGGCTGTCTGCCTAGCTTTTGGATGACAATATGTGGAGGATATCTATGGTAGGGGACAGGCATAAAAAGGAAACCAACCCACCCAGTCCTTACTCCCTGCCTTCACCCACATCCATCCTCTGCCTGCCTCCAGTCTGCTTGATGACAGCTCCTGAAGGCTAGGGAAGGAGGTCCTATGATGGTTCCCAGGCTGCTTTAACAAGCAACAAACTTGCATCTTGAAATGCCACACAAATTCCCATCTCACAACCCTAGGGTCCAGGAATCTGAAATGTGCCTCACTGGTCTAGGGTGGGTGTCAGTCAACCTATCCTTCCGAAGGCTCTGAAGGGAGCTGGTTTCTGGCATTATTGGGGCTCCAGGCCCCCTGCAGAGAGAGAGAGCGAACTCATAGGGAGAGAGCAAAGGAATGGACCCCTTTAGAGTGTGGCCATGCTGAAGCAAAGGGGGCCTGGGCACATATTGCTGCACCACCAAACACAGAAATGAGGCTCAGCCTGTCCTGGGGCTCCTGCCCCTACTGCAGGGTCCTACAGTGGAGCATGGAGCCTGATGAAGGGACGTTTTGGGGGGACAGAGTCCTGCCATTCACCTGCTTCTCCTTGCCCATGCCTTGAGTCCCCCAAGAGGGGAGAGAGATATATCCCTGTCTCTCATGATCAGTTGGAGAAGGGCAGGGTC